TCATTTATATTAATATCTGCTTATCCTTCTTATATTTCACCAGTTTCACAATTCACAATTTCGGGATAGCAGAAAAAGAAAATTAGCAATGCTAATCAGATCCCATCAAATGTCATCAACAACTTTCAACTATATCCCCCTTACATTAACATCACACACTCACACACACACACACACACACCTCCGGTCCAGAATATTTTATCATAGGCCACGACCGGCGGTAATCTCGATCGGCTTCCGCGGTGGAGCTGACACAAAAATGATTTTGGCTTCTCTGAATCGTCTTTCGAAAAAGGACACTGTCTAGTTTCTGGAGCCAGAATCGTTTTTGAAAAACGAAACTGGAAAGTAGACACTATACCATTCGTCTATACACTTTCGCGCTCCTGTAAGGCAAAAGCAAAAGCGTTAACTTTTCATCCTTATGCATAGAACGAAAAGTAGTTGTACGCTATTTGTACATTGAAATAGGAAAAAAATTGTCACTTTGCCTGAAAAATGTCTCCTAGGTATACGTAAGGGATAATAACTGTTTGTTTTGGCCAAAAATGAATTTTCCTGGAGTAAACAACAATTTCCCGATACTTACCATCGGTTAAGGGACGGATGTACAGGACGCCGATCGGCGTAACCAGACCTTTAAAAATTGTACGCACAGATTTTTAAAATTCCCAGCAAAATGTAAACTAACGCAAGAGACGAAGGACAGCGTAATTACAACATATGTACCACACATCGCAGCTCAATTTCCATTAATAATAAAATCATTATTTAGTCAGAAATATTCTCGCAATTAAAATAGTTTCAATATTCTTATTACCCAGAACGGTATATTTATTTAAAAGGAGGCTAGCTTCGCATATGTGGAACCCCCTTCGAATAATCCTGGATCCACCTCTGAGTTGAACTAACATACGGTTTAATTCACCTTACATGATGATGCATGGCTCCCAAAAACAACCAGTTATACGACACGACAGAGCTCTGATACATCTAAGTTTAATTATTTGTTTGTAAAAATTGCCCATGTCACCCTGTTAGTTTGGAGGGGTAAGCTGGGTCAAGTCCGTGTCAAAATTCTTTGAAGTTTTGCAGGAAAAAGTCTTCCTTTGTTTCTCTAGCTCCTTCTTAAACCTGGTGTCCAGACTTTTATCTAGTGCCCCCAGGGTTGCGGGAGCTGCTCTTTGAAAATAACACTCAGGCAGATTTTTACCTGAGATAAATAACGCCAGCGAGAACGGTTCGATATTCTCAAGAAAGAGGGTACAGAAGAGTTGAGGGCCACTGAACCCTCTAATTAAGAGGTAAAGGGAGTTCCAGTTAGATGGACCTAAGATCTAATATCCGTTTATTAGATCTTAGGATGGACGAATAAGATAGGACTTGTTAAGGTTACAGGCATTTTACCTCAAGTCGGGGG